TCAGATCAAGCAAAATAACATTGCAAGCATATGTTTTTCTACCTTTTATACATAAAAAAAATACAGGGAGCCCCTTGTTGCCATTAATAAATCTAACTGTTGACCATATAAATTATGCCTGACCATTAAAAGTTGTCCACAAATGGCAAAGAGCTCCCATTATTCTTTGACAGTCATCTTTCACAATGCTAAAAAACATTCGCTGAAAACAAGATTTGTTAGTAAAAAAAAATCTTCGAAAGTCTTTAATTTTTTTGGACCAAACTGGTAAAGCGATGATATTTGCCACAGCAGTACCCTATGGCAAGAAACCTCTGACTTTATTTTTTTTTCAGGCTCTGAAGAAAAGCGACTGTGTAAAACATTTTCAAGGGTGCGCCGGACAAAAAAGGGGCAAAGAGATGTCAGCTTTAAAAATGAAGAAAGAAACTCATTCCACCGGTTACCATTTGCTTAGAAGTGATCCAGTCTTGGCTGATGAGTTAGAAGAACCACCGGAATCAACCCAAGAAGAAGAATCAGCCGAAGACAAAGCAGCTGCCACCGACAAGTCTCCCCTCTGGAAAGCAGTAGTCAACTTGATGAGTAGCATTGAGGGAACAGGCCTGCTCGCACTACCATATGTCATAGCTCAGAGTGGACTAGTGGCCATAGCAGCAATGGCAGTTGTGCCATTTATCGCTTTCTACACTGGAGCAATCTTGATTGACTGTCTTTACGAAAAAACGATGCTGGAGAAAGAGTGCGTGTCAGATCCAACTATAAACAACTGGGTGAAGCTTTCTCGCCTCGTTTTGGCGGTACCATAGTTTCCACTATCCAGTTAGTGGAACTTTTTCTCCTGGCATCTTTGTACCTTGTATTATTTGCCTCGCTTTCGAGAGGTATCTTTCCAGATTTGCCGCTGTCCGACAAAGTATGGATGCTTATCGCAGCTGCGGTGAGTCTTCCAACTTTATTTGTGAAGAATCTCTCGCAGGTTGCATGGATGAGTTTATTGAGTGTGATAGCTTTAATGGTAGCAGTAGTTGCTGTTTTAGCTTACGGAATAGCTCATGAATACTCATGGGCCCCAAGGGAAATCTTGGTGTGGAATATAGATAAAGTGCCCGTTTCGTTTGCAATTATTATCTTCAGTTATATATGCCACCCTGTTTTGCCAGGTGTTGAGGCAAGCATGGAAAACAAATCCAAATATCGCACAATGCTTGCCCTTTCATACTTTTTCGTTGCTATCGTAAAAGTGTTTTTTTCAGTGTGTGCATTTTTGTCTTTCAGTTCTCATATCCAAGATGTGATCGTAAACAGCCTTCCTGTTGGAGTTATCCGTAGCCTTGTAAACGCATTTTTACTTTTAAACGTATTTTTTTCATATCCTTTTCGTGTAATAACGATAATCCAAACAATCGAAGAATCGGTCTCCCCCGATTCGTTCTCTTGCAAGATACCGGATCTTGTTTGGTTTATTGGCATCCGAGTCTTAACCAATTTCCTTACCCTACTTCCGGCAATTTTAATCCCACATTTTGCGCTCTTTATGGCGTTTATTTCAAGTTTAACGGGATCTGCGATTGCGTTTATTTTACCAGTAATTTTCCACCTCGTCATAAAACAACATGAGCTAAAACTATACCATTATATTTTTGATATATCAGTTTTAATTTTCGGTTTCCTTGCAGCTGCACTTGGGTTGGTTTACAGTGGGAAATCTCTTTTTGAGGATTTGTTCCATCATCATTCAAACAAGTAATTAAAATAAGTTTGAGAATATCGCTATTTTAGGCCTCTATTTGAGGGAGGAGCAGAGGAGTTTGAGCCTCTCTACTTGTGCGCCTATCATTATTGAAAGCTAAAGTCAATTGAATCTCACGCATCGTTAAGTAGTCGTTTTGTTTATTACCCACCAATTTTTTTTGCGACAAATGAAGGCATTCCTACCTTAGAATGGATGCTTTAAAACTGGTTCAGTAAGATTCACGTTGCCGAAACCTTTGGCAATCAATCAGAGAGCTGCCTTTTGGTCAATTTTTAATGGACGATGTCACTGCATGTATGGATGTCGACGGCATCAGCACAAATTGTGACATCAATCTTTGTGCACCTTTTAATTTGGCTTTTTGCTAACGTTTTCGTCGGTTCATGATCGGGGGTAGCTTTAATTTAGCCAACTACTTTTTATTTAGCCATGCTGAGGGCATGGTCACTTTGCAGTGACCAGAAACCTTAGTAATCACCCGATCCTTGCGAATTCACCGGGCATTAGTTTGGTGTAGTATATGCTGCTGATTAATTGGTATATTTTTACATAATCCTTAGGTATTGACTTGTTTTAACTATCAGGTCAGCTTTAACTGAGACTCTTTTTATATGGAGAAGGCCTGACCTGGGTAGTTGGATCACCCTCCCCGCCGCCGACTCAACTTCAGCGGAAGTTTATATGACAAAAAAAGTGCGGACCTCTTTACCATTCTCGTCCTCAGAGGCCGCGATCCTTTTGATCACCGCCAGTGACCAAAAGTATCGCCGCCGTTGGGAACGAGAATGCTCCTTTGCCCGAGCCAATAGTGCTCGCGTATGTTCTGATTGTTTTAAATATCGCTCACACATGCTCTGATAGTCTAGTATTGACTAGGTTGATCCAGCTGGGCGAGCGAGCCAACCTGTGTTTGTATGGAGAAAAGATCCGTGGCGGATCATTATACGATTCTGGTAAACTGCCCACCTACCCCTCCCCTAAGCCAACATTAACGCCAAAGGTGGCCCGGCTAGGAGGGGTGACCCTTCTGGCTGGTTCATCTTTTTGTTTCTGACGGTTCGCCACGGTTTATAAGGAAATGTAGGAAAAGGTGGTTCGTCCAGGGTAACTTGGGTAGGCGAATGACCTTTCTTCCCTGGAAACGTTAGGGAGCTTTAGCAACGACGACGGCGACGGCAACGAGGACGTCAAAAAAGCAATAGGTTTAGATTGGTAAAACAGTAACTCTGCACGTGCATCATGCTTTTTTGTACGTTTCTTTACCGTCCTTGCACGGCTACGACGTGAAAATGCCTAACTGCAAGTTTTATGGAGGACGTAAACAAGCGACGACGAATCTCTTTTTCTCTCTCTAAACTTGAGTGCGGTCCTCAAGAAATCAACTCCAGGGGAATTCGCCTACACTTGCCATTTTCAGCAAATTGGAATAAACGCCACAAAGATTGAAAAAACGGGAATTCATTTTAAAACTGACGTTTTCGCTGCCGTTGCTGTCGTCGATGTTAAAGCTCCCTGTTTTCTCCATATAAAAGGAGCCTGAGTCTCAGATTTTCGCAAGTAAGGCGACTGCTCTTCACAATGGTGTAGGTTTTATGGATAGTAAAGAAGAAATGAAATGAATTGACACAAGTGGGCTATTTTGCGAGGTCTTTGATAACGTGTGTTTTAAAGAGCCATCCTCGAAAGAGAGAGACCTTCAAGATAAATTGTGAATGTTAGAGGTTGTAAATAATGGTATATGAACTGAGCAGGAGTGCAGTTTGGTCTGAAATCATATGCGTGATTTAAAAATCGGAAGACCTCGCACTGCCAGTTCGATTTGAGATCACAAGACTAGTATGATTTCAGACCAAATTACACGACACGAAGTTCAATTAGCACCTTATTACAGCCATTTTGAAATCACAGAATTCCGTCGGTACCAAATTATAATTGATCTAGGAGTCGGTTTGATGAATAGTGGAAGCAAAACGGCTTTTACACACATATTGTAAACGAAACAAAACTGATGCGATGTAGGGCAAAAATGTTGCGATTTAGAACAAAAATGATGCGATTTAGAACATGAATGACGCAATTTAGAACAGATGTGATTTAGAGCAAAAATGGTGCCATTCGTAAGTAAATCACACTGCTGAGAACCAATAAGATTGCAGGGATCACCATTGATTTCAAAATGGATGTAATAAAAAGAAAAACTGTATGCAATAATGCATGATAAAAAAAATACTCTTTCAATTTAACTCATTAATTAGATAGTTCCGATGATTGCGGGCAGAGCTCTTTAGCCATGTAATAAACGTACACTGTTTTATATATATAAATTAAAAACATTGCTCGCAGTTATTTGACTGTGTGTGAATGACATGTTTAATGTGGAATGTGTATAAATATATTTGGGTTTCTTTAGTATGAAACAGGTATGAAACGGGTATGAAACAGGTTTGTCAACTGGAAAAAAAAAATGCAATTCTCACGTTTTACGTGAAGGAGCCAGGAGGGGTCCCTGCCAACACCCCAGAAAAAAAATTAACAAACACCGCATTACCGCAAAAAAAAGTTGAGAAAACACCGACATAGCAATTTAATATTTGTCTTATGATTAATCTACATTTGATTGAATGTGTTACTTTTTCTAATAGATAATTTGCGTATTTTCTATAGACAAAAGATCAGATTGATATTGACGGAAATGCTCGATAACTCTTGTCTACAAGACATTTGTACAGAAATTCAATAATGTAATATTGTGTTGAAAAAAAAAATGGTGGAATGGTAAATATGCTTTTCTAAAAATACTGCAACATAGACATTTGATTGTATGTGTTAGTTCTTTTTAATAGATAATTTGCAGATTTTTTATAGACAAAAGATGAGATTGATATTCACGGAAATGTTCGATAAAACCGAAGTGAACTCTTGCCAACAAGACATTTCGTACACAAATTCAATAACTGCATGATATTTTATTTAGAACAAGACATTTAATTGTTTTACCTTCAAAAGCATATTTTTTTTTCATGTAAGGTCATATCTTGTCTGTTTAGCTACTTCAAGGATGTAATGCCATTCATCAGGGGAACTTGAAGTAGGATTGTACTTGTTCTAAACAAACTTAGAACAAGACATTTAATTGTTTTACCTTCAAAAGCATATTTTTTTTTTCATGTAAGGTCATATCTTGTCTGTTTAGCTACTTCAAGGATGTAATGCCATTCATCAGGGGAACTTGAAGTAGGATTGTACTTGTTCTAAACAAACTGAAGACTTGGTTGTAAAGGATGATGAGATATACTTAACAAGGCCTAATCTGAAACTAATGCAATATTGTGTAAAAAAAAAATGGTGGTATGGTAAATAAGCTTTTCTCCATTTTCGTTTTAATTTAATTTGAAATTAATAAAAGATGTAAAGGATGTTTTACCTTGGCCTGAGTTATCAAATTAAATTTAAAGAAAGATTACCACGCAGCCTCATATGCATAATATCTCGTTGACTACTTGTTGGCTTCTACACAAGCCGCTAATCGTGCAAGTGACTGGGGTCTGTGAGATGTTTTACTCTAAGGAAGTATGGAAATCTTTCTCTCATACAAATAACAGCGAAAATGTATAGGTTACTTCACTGCGCCGATACAACAGTGAACAACTTCCCTATTCCGCCCGGAACGGTTACAAACCCCTCATGACAGACAAATTTAGCTCATAGTAGATAAAATGAAATTGATACCCAAGCAGTTGAGTTTTATACCGCTTTGAGTAGCCCTGAAGTAAAACAACAACAACAACAAAAGAACAAAAAAAAACTTTTTCGTTGGACTACTCTTATATATCTCAGAAACGATAACTAAATCGGTCGATCCAACAGTGAAATTGTAAAACATGATGAGTGACTACAAGAGATCAGAAAGTTTGTCAGCTGAATTATTTCGCTTACCTCAAAACTCTGTTCTTGACACACTGAAAGTATTGCTTTCTGCGAACATACATCTCAAGTAAAAGGGCGACAATAACAGAAGTCGTAGGCAATTATGATACTGTTTAGAATCATTGGACTAAGCTTAGCAAAAGCCAAGCAAGCTGTATGCATACGTGCAGCTTGGCTCTCACGACAGTTAGTATCACGTGACCACCTTTCCATGACCGTTGTTTCCAAGAATTCTACTCTGGATTCTAGTCTGGGGATTCCAGGTAGCTGGACTTTATTGGATTCCAGTGTTTGCTGTATTCCGGATTCCACAGGCAAAAGTTACCCGGAATCCGCACTCCTTTACATGGGGCGCATCATTTGCAAAATCAGCTGTCAGAGAGCTCTACGTTTCCTAGCTGTGTAAACGACTCATGACCACCCATAAATGGAAATTCCACTCTTACCTAAATGCCGATAACGACATTGCCAAAAATAACAGACTAGATTAACAAGTGAGGATATTCCTGATCCGGATTGTTGTGATTTGGGGCTGTATTTTGATTGGCTACTCGAGGTTAGGTTACTCGCGTGGTATAGGACTGATAGGTCACTAATAGGTGGCGAGGGTAACTGCCGCTAAACTGCCAGCTGCTGTTAATAAGGTGATTACTCCGGTGAGCTGGATTTTGACATCCGAGTGATTTTTGTTGTTGTCGACAATCAGCTCAGGGAATCAACAGGACCGTAACCCGACCCGTGACTTCGTCTGGGTCAATATACAGAATATACAGCACAGCTGCCAGCTGAATATATTACCCCAATCCAGGCCCAGAAAGCCTGTATGTAACGCAGATAACGGGTCTGTATCACCCACTCATCACCCTGCACATCGCGGGCTAAACTTCACTGAAACGCTAAAAGTTGCCTATTTTCTACACAGTTGACTGTAACTGATACATGCGATGCCGAGAACAGTGCTACAATAGCGTTGTCTGAGTTACCCCTCCATCCGTATTCCTGCTGCGATACTGTCCTGAGTGTCCATCGACCGATACACAGGACTGACAGGCGCTATTCACGCGATG